CATTTTATGTTATCTTCATCCTGAAAAGTTACTATCAGGTAATTTAAGATCTTTCTTCTAGCTTGCTGAAAATTATTCAACATCACAGTTTTGTTTTCCTTAACCTAGCTGGTAATTTTAGAAATGAGCCATCCACTACAATAGCCACTAGCCGAATGTGGCTATTTAAATTTAAATTTGCTAAAATCAAATAGAATTAAAAATTCAGTTCTTTGGCTGCACTTGCCACGTTTTAAATGCTTAATAGCTGCATGTGAGTAGTGGCTATCATATTGGCCAGCACAGATAGAGAACATTTCCAGCATTGCAGAAAGTTCTACTGGATAGTGTTTCGTGTGTGGGTGTGTGTGTGTGTGTGTGTGTGTGTGTGTGTGTGTCAGAGACAGAATTACAAGTGCTTCTGGAACCGAATTTTTCTATCGAAAGACTGGGGACACGGGACTATCCAGCAGTTCCTGCATTAAAGTCTATCTCCAGAAGTCACCTTCACCATTCCTGTGTCTGCCTTCATGCAGAGGGCACACCCCATCAGTTGCCTCCTGTTAATCATAAAGAGAAATGGGATTTTGTTTTTTTCTAGAATATTCCAAAAATGAGCTGCTGTGTTTGGGGCGAATTCTAGAGAGGCCAAGTTTGCTTCAACAATAAGAATACTAACAATTTTTAGTGAGCATTAATTGATTTTTTTTTAATTTGTACAGTTTTTTTTAATGTGGCATGCCAGTTATTCAAATACTATGCACTGGTTTCTTTACCCATTAATTTGACACTTCACTTTCATATCATATGTCTCCACAATGAGAAATCACCCCACACCTGTCAGGGCAGCTGTCATATTTATTTATTTATTTATTTAATTATTATTTTCTTTCCTTTTTATCTTTTTCGTGACTGGCAACGGACCGCAACCCTCAGTGTCGCGCCCGTACCGGACCGGGACCGGCAACAGGATCACAACCCTCGGTGTTGCGCCCGCACCTCGCTCAGCCAGTGAGCTGCCGGTCTGTATGTGGGATCCGAACCTTCGGCGGGAGCGCCGCTGCGCTCCCAAGCGGCGCACTGTAGCAGTGCGCCACCGGGCCGGCCCAGCTGTCATATTTAAAAGAAACAACAACAACAAAACAAAACAAAAAACAACCAAAGACAGCATCCTCTCCTGTTGGATTGGAGCCCTTGCACAGCTGGTGGGAATGCAAAATGGTGCAGCCACAATGGAGACAGTATGCAGGTTTCTCAAAAAATTAAAAATAGAACTACCACAAAATTCAGCAATCCCACTTCTGGGTCTTCATCCAAAAGACTTGAAATCAGGACTTTTTTTTTTTTTTTTTGCACATTTGTGAATTAAAATTAGCCAGATTATTAAGTGGCTTGTTCTTAAACAGAACCAAGGACAGCTTTCATTTCTAATGACAAGAAATGAAAAGTATGGTAATCAGGGGAATGAGGGATTTTCCATCCTTGAGTAAGAAAGTGCGTGGTGGTGCTTGTGGCCTGGATGCAGGATTCACCTTCTCCATGGGTTTCCAAAATAGCTTCATCACACCAAGTGTATGCAAGTTTTTTTTTTTTTTTAACTTTTATAATCATTTGGAGGGACAAAGTTATACTTCACAACTACAGGTGTAATTTTCCACCAAGAAATCCCCATGGAACATTTTTGTTCTCAATCCTCTCCCTCAGCCTCTAGTATGTTCCTGTCTCTGCCTCTGCCCCCCACACTCCCCACCTCACTCCAGGTGTCCCCCCTGTTACATTCTCTGTCTTCCACTCCCTTGAGCCTCTGCCTTTTGTTATGCAGGGCAGTTTGCTGAGTAGTCTTAGTTATTTAAGCATTCTGAATATCTCAACTTTCAACTCCCATTACCTTCTCTGGGGCTGAATAAATGTGGGTTTTTCCACAGGAGGAGTTCTGGTGAATAGAATTTTCTCTCTTTTTTACATACACAAATGTGCATACACTTGTACACGTATACTGTATTTGTAATGCATATCTTTAGGACTTTGGCCTCGAGCATGATTTGAACACTCAAATGTTTGGAGTATCTTGAATTCATGAAACTGGATGGACTAAAACAATGCTGCTGTATAGGCTTTTGCCTTATAGACACTGCTGACATGACAGAATGGTTAAACATAAAATGACCATGGGCCACACGAGTGATTGGCTTATAACTCCTGGCTTACAAGAACCCTAATGGGTTCCAGCTGAAATAATTAATGCTTTGGATTTATCATATAAAATGACCATGGGCCACACGAGTGATTGGCTTATAACTCCTGGCTTACAAGAACCCTAACGGGTTCCAGCTGAAATAATTAATGCTTTGGATTTATCAATGCCCTGATCAAAAATCTCCAGTGGAAGGCAGAACATTCTTTGATGTGATAGTGCTGTCTCTTCATGGCTTAGGGCAGTGCATGGAACATAAAAATTCAATTAATAAATAGATAATACAGGCTAACATCTTCATCAGTCAGGATAGACTAGCTTATGCTGCAATAACAAATAACTCCCAAGTCTCAATTGCTTAAACAACAAACTATTTCTTTCTGTGTACATTTATCATGGGTTGGCAGGGGACAGAGAGGGCCTGTGCTCACTGTAGTCACTCAGTGGTCTAGGGTGATAGTGCATCTAGTCCATGTTCCAAAGGCAGAGAGAGATTTGGAGCATGTTACTTCAACAATTGAATGTTCTAACTTATGGCTTTGAAGTGATCCCATCAGTTTTACTGACACCTCATTTGGTCAGAACTTTATGGCCCACTCAACCATAAAGGGATCAGGAAGTGGAATCCTACCATGGTCAGAAAGGCTCAACTTCTCTGGAAGGTGTGAGAATAGTTTTGCTTTCAGTTGGGGGAATGGCTAGATGGCCTTAAACATCAGTATCTGTTGATATTCATAAGAACAAATGATCATTGGTTGCAATGCAATGGATTGCAAGGTATTTGGAAGGAAAAAAAAAATGGAAGTATGTTGATATTTTTGTTTCATAACATATATGTATAGAATGGTACTTAAGTCAAGTCTTTCTTCCAGTCTTTTTTTTTAGCAGTTCCTATCTGAGTGCCTTCAACATAATCCATCAGTTGGTGCCTCAAGCTTATTAAATTGCACTGAGTTTTAGATAAGTAACTATGTTGGTCCTTAATTTAATCCCTAGAAATGAAAAACATAATGGCTACAGTTTTTCAAAATGGTAGCCTTTATTAGCAAATGTGGACTTACATTTAATTTTAATTCATTAGCATAGCAAAAGCACAACCAAAACCAATCACGAAGCAAAGACTATCTAATACACTTCTATATTTCAAATTCCTGGGATCATATATGCCTTTAGAATGAATGAATAATAATTTTTGAGTCTGTCTTAATGTTAAAGAAATAAGAAAATGTACTGGTTGATATTTTAAGATTATTTTTTCCATTAAGTATTTTATCTGAGTATTTAAAAGACAGGCTAGTGAGCCAGATCATTTGGGTTTGAAACCTGCTATATTGCTTAGTAGCTATATTACCTTGTGCAAATTCTTTAACCTTCCTATCTCACCTAACATTCTCCATCTGTGAAATAGAGATAATAATAATAACAATAATACCTATCTTATGGGGTTACTAAAAGGATTCAATTACAATTTACAGAACATACTACAGAATAGAACTAGCACGTGATGAAGTTTGGATAAACATTAGCTGCTACTACTGCTGTTATTAGTATTTTTGTCTTATACACTCACTAACACAACAATAATGAACCACAGAAACATGCAATGCCAACCAGAACTTTGGTGTTCTTCACTTATTTTTAAATGTAAGATTAATATTTACCATTATTTTGAAATTAGTTTAGCAGTAAGTCTTAACCAACGGTCCTTATGTTATAAAGAGCTATTATGTGTGTTTTGTGCAATGTAAAAGACCAGTGGGGAAGATTGGTGAGTCTGAAGGATCCCTCACTTTTTTACCCTGTGTAATGTGAGAAAACAGAACCACTTCCAAAGATGCACTGTACTTCTAACCTTCTTTACAATGCGTATGAAAGGCAAGATAGCATTCTAAGGAATTTTGAAAGGTTTTCGAGGAAGGAAAATTATGAGAACTACCTCGATTTTGAAAACAATATAAAAGACTAGACAGTATGACTTAGGATAATGGTGATTTCATAGATCATGTTTTCTGCTTTGTCCCTGAGCACCTAACACATAGTAGGAGCTTTAAAAATGATTTGTGAAATAACTGAATGAGTGTTTAAGAGAGTTATTACTAGTGCAATCTACAAATGAAACCAGGTCATTTCACATGCATCATTGAAGATATAATCACACTATATTTCTGAAGAATTAAGCGTTCAAACCATAGTACTAGAGACAAAACGTTGAATTTCTGAGTGTTTTCCCTCCACACCCCAGCATGATACTTGAGGGAAAGCAAAATAAAAAAAAAATTTTAAAAGCCTTAGGCATATTTCATTGGCAAAACCCAGTTTTTGATGCTGACAATGACATATTTCTATTTATTAAACATGATCAAAAACTCAGAAGGTTTGTATTGGGCTTATGCATATACACATCTATATTCTATTCCAGATACATTCTATTTCCAGATTTAGCTGCCAAAACAACTGACAGACTTAAACTGGTATAAAACTGACAATATTTTTGGTTAACTTACTGGTAAAAGACTATTAAGAGGTAAGAAATGGCTTATACTTCACTTTCTCATTTACTGTTGGAAGTCTAACACCCATTAACACTATCAGTATTTTGCAGAATTTTTTTTTCTTTTGTTTCACCTTCCCTCTTTACCCTTTTGGCAAATGAACGGTATCAGTAAAATCTCTAACATAATACATCAGGCAGTATAGCGTTAAAGTGCTGCCTGAGTTGCTGAAGAGTTAGAGGGCAGGAATTACCATTCGCTGTAGCTGTAACAGGAGGTAATGTCACTTTAAGACATGTGATACTTTAGAGAGGAGGGATGTATTGAAACAGTCTACTGCTACTTACAGCACCGTATAGCAGCCTTGCTCCTACGTTACACTGCCTTACTCTGCCCTGAAGCACTGGACTGGGGATGGTCCATCGGTAACTATAAACTGATTCTCATCAGGAAACTGCACATTATCTCACCATCACTTCAAAGGTCTCATCAGGCAGAGGTGACGCCAGGAGATGATTTAAAGGTGAAAATGACAAGGTTTCCACCCCTCAAACCTTGCCTTCTTTTCTGACAATACAATCTGAGTGAACCCGATGTCTTAACTGTGGAAATAGGATTGGAAGAGAAAAACGTATTTTTTTTTTAATCCTGATAAAGAAGACTGTTGGGAAGCTCTTTTTAAAAAAATCTTAAACTGTGGCACAGATGGATTTTTAAAAGTGTTAGATCATTCCAATGAACGCTAATAGAGTGCTCTGCTCTTGGCTGGATTTTTCAGGTAAGAAGCCTCTTTAAGGATTTAAGATTCAGAAAGCAGATCTGAAACATATTCAGTCATATCTAGAGAACTATGCAAGGCTGGATGCATTATTTGGAGAAAACACTTATTAACATTGAGACAACCTCTTGGTAAGAGAGTGAGCAGTGAGAGCGATATGCAGGAGCCTTGGAAGTATGGTGAGAATTAAAGAAAGTTAAATGAAAAAAGAAAAAGAAGGGAAAATATTGCAAATGTCAAGTCACAGTAATTATTTGAGTGCTAAGATCTATGTGGGTAAAGAAAGCAAGAGAAAGCAGTCATTGGAAAACTGTTAAGTTTTGATTGTCGTAGGATTTTTTCAAGTTTAGGTTAATTCCTAGTGCATTTTAACTTCAATCCACAAGCAGTAAATGCATACCATGGTCACCTGTTTTGTCTTTCCCTAACTTGCAGCATATTCTGAAAAAGACTCCAAATGCATTCATTTTAGGATTCACAGAAGGGGTGTTGCTATTTCTCTCTACTGAGGAGAATGCATCTATGTTATCCGGATAGTTCTGAAAACAATTAGGCAAAGTATGTTGTATACAAAAGTAAACAAGGGGCAGTGGAACTAATTAGAAAGTGAGGGGTTCATCTGAATCACAGACTGGAGCATGAGTGGTACCATGCTGTTGACAATGGCGTTTTCCTACTTTGCACTTAATTATAGTTGTCACCTTTAGTATGTTATTGTCCTAAAACCCCTCTCAAAGACTACATCTCTTTCCTAAAACCCGCAAATTATCCTGTATTATGTGTACATATACATATATATTTTTGCTTTCTGAACATTACAATTTTGGAAAGAGGACCCGTTTCTGTGAATAAAGAAGCCATGCTGAAAGGTCACTAGCAGGTTTTCAATGTATACTTGAAATTCTTGAAGAATATGATTTGCCAGTGGAAAGGAAAAGAAAGAAACAATCTTGGTTCCAAAGCCCTCTCTATCTAAGAGAAAAGCACATAGTTAACTGGATTCTTGTATAGAAAATGCTTCCCTACCACTGGCTGAGTAAGAACGATGCTTCAAGTTTGATTAATTTGGCAATATGAAATGCAGCATAAGGTGTTGTTTGAGAAATTGGACAATATGTAGCGCAGTTGAGCCTTTGTAGCTCCTAAGATCCTCATAGGTGCAGACAAGACTGTCAAAGTTTCAGCGCCTGAGAAAAGGTATATGTTCATCTATAAATACATACACCACCTGGGTATGCATATTCATCAACGCTATACAACAAATGCCACAATAGAATGTTAGGAGGCAAAGCTATATTGTAAATTGTGGCTTGCTGTAGGATAGAAGCAAAGATCCTGCATCTGAAACTCATTCTGGCTGAAGACAATTCCTTCTTATTTTAAGTCCAGCCAAAAAGATCGGTTCTATCAGGAGATTACAACATGCCTCTGAGAAATGATTGCTTAGTTTAGAAGACAGCATTGTGATTAAAAATTCATGACGGTAGAATTAAGAAAAAAAAAAAAAAACCCACTCTTTCCTTCCAGGCTTATGTCAGACTTGCAATGAAGTTAGAATGAACAGGAGTCTGCAGCTTTTCAATGCCTGGGACAACTATAGTTTAAAGATCATTGTGTAAAATAGGATTTTTAGTCAGCATATAATGTTTCAAATTTGCCTGATAGCCAAAAACTTTATTTTTGCATTTCGGCAATCCCTGCAGTTTTGTTTTGCAGATTTTTTTTAAAAAATGAGTGCACAATCTTCTGGGGCTTTCCCTCAGTCCCACTTCATGGCATGACCTCTGCTGGATCACTAATTCTAGCCAGCAAAGTAGCAAAGGAAAATGATGTCTGAGACCTCCCTTCCCTCATCAGTGGGGCTGACTGAGCTGGGGGCTTGAGGTCAGGGATAACCTTTCCTGTCTAATGTTCTCTTTAGAGAATGGCAATGGTCTCTGCGATGTCCTGGGTCCTGTATTTGTGGATAAGTGCTTGTGCAATGCTCCTCTGCCATGGATCCCTTCAGCACACTTTCCAGCAGCACCACCTGCACAGACCAGGTAAGTCGGGGGCTGGCTCCCCTGCAGCCTCCTCCAGTCTCACCGCTGTCTCCTTAACAGATGGTTGAATGCAAGTGACAGAAAGTGCTACAGTGTGGGCAGCTTGCCTTTGAATTCCAAGACATATTGTTGGCTGGACGCTTTGGGGGAAGGGCAGTGTACCAAAATGTGTTGGAGATATTTCTACTAATTTCTCAGAATAGGTGGGTTTCACCAAGTGTCCCCCCAATCCCTTCCACACACCTTAAAAAGCAGAAGTCATTTGTTTTTGGATGCTTTGGACAAAAGCAAAATATTCTGCAAAAGGTGGATTAACTCTCAAGACCTGAGGATTTTTTAGGGAGGCAAAATACCATCTTTGCGTGTCTATTCCTGAAAGCATTTTTACCTAGTATAGATACTATAATCTCGGTCCATATGTGGAGGTGCGAGTCCCAAAACTAACTTTGGAAGTAAGCTGTCAATGAAAAGAAATTAAAAAGTAACTTACTATTTCTTGTCTGGTTTAATTTGCCTCTTTTCCTTTCTCCCTTCCTTCACTTTTTGTTCTTTCCGTATGCTCATGGGTTTTTTTTTTTTTTTTTTTTTCTCTCTCTCTCTCTCTTGGCAGTTTCAGTGACAAGTTCCCTCTCGCCTGATTTTTGTTGTTTTTTCTATACTGAATTTTTAGTTCTGGATGCATTTTGATTTCTTCGTCTTTCCTTTCAAAGCATATTTCTTTCTCTTGCATGGCCTCGCTCTTCAATCTGGATTTTTCTTTTCCTCTGCTTCTCCAGCTTTCACGTTACAGTTTCTCCCAGCTCGATTGTCCTTACCTTCCCTGGTTCTCGGAAAGATCTTCTTCCATTTAATGGTTAGCTTCAGCCTTTTCATTTTTTTCTCCCCCCCCCCCCCCAACTTCGCCACCCCCACCTCCATCCAACCGACAAGTTTGGCCTCTGGGGACCAGTTGCGCGCCCGAGTTCCTGATCCACAGTGCTGAGTGCTCCCAGCCCTTTATCCTCAGATCCCTTCCTGGCCTCCTCCCACCCGCCCGGCTTCCTCCTGCTGCGCGGTCCAGCGTCTCCGCCCTTGCCTTTCCCTGACTCCGCAGCCGCCTTGAACACCGATCCCGGGCTCTTCAGCACAGTCCTCCAGCAACAGCTCCGGGCCGCCGCTGGCTGCCTCCCGGAGTTCTGCTTCCAGGCGGGGGACAGGCTGGGCAGAGCGCGGGTGCAGCCCGGGGTCCCCCGTGCTCCCGCACCAGGATGCCGGCGAGCGCTCAAGCCTGCGGTGTGCTGCAGCCCAGGCCGGCCCTGGAGGAGGGTGGGGGGCGGCCAGCAGCTGCTTCCTGACCCCAGACCCCCACCCTCCTTCCCCACGCCCTGCGTCGGGGAGGGCGGGCGCGGGGGCGCTGGTGCCCCTGCAGGTGGGCATGGAAACCGCTCTGCCTCTGCTGCGCGCTCGCATTTCTGCATCCCGTAGCCAGAGCCTGGAGCAGGAGCCGCCAGACCCAGAAGTCTCAGTGCCAAGTGGAGGGAAAACAAAAGGGGATTGGGGGATTCTACGTTACGTCCAGTCACTTAGTCACCAATCTGTTCTAGTGAAAATGTCTTTGACTTGTTCCATAGTCATGGAAAGAATGCGGGAAATCTGAGTTTATCCTAACAGTCAACAATAAGAATTCGTAATAAAAACAATTGTGTTTTAGGCACAGCTCTCAGAGTTAATTCACATTGTTTGGTTTAATCTTTATGCAAGTGAGTGTAATTTCCCACCTTTTGCCCGGGAAGTGGAAGTTCTGGGGGGTTGGGTGACCTGTCTGAGGCTACACAGAGAGTAGCTGCCATTGGAAGTCAGGTGGGTCTGATTTCATCACCAGAGCGTGCGCACAGGAGGGGCAAATGCCTCTCAGTGCACAGTGACCATGCCACGTAGCCTCTTTGAGCAGGTGTGAGCCTCTTCACATAATTTGTGACAACTTTCAAGTTAATGTCAATATGTGGGCTCATGCGAACAGTGAACCCATTCTGAGAGGTGGCGGTGGCAGCACTGGTGAGTGGCAGGTGCTGAGGGGGGATGGCAGAGCTCAGAACTAGCCACCCTTTCTGTTACTTAACGTTAGTGACATGACTTTGGGCAAGTGACTTTTCTTCTCTGAGCCCAATTCCCCGGCTGGGGATAGGGTGGGTGTGTAAATAGAATAACTTCTGAGAAAGTGCTCTGTAAACTGTAAAGTTCTTCATATATATCAGGAATCACTGATGTTCCTGCTTAATAAACTGAAACCTGCAAGTCAGGGGTGTTGAATGAATGAAGTTTTGCTATTCATACGGCTAATAATTCACATAGCTAGGACAAAAACCTGTTTGTTTTATTTTTTCTCTTGCTA